CTGCCACTCTCCCGGGAACAGCTGGAAGGGGCGGGGCGCGGCGGGGCGGGGGCGGTCCCTCCCGTGGCCGCGCCGGGGAACAGCACCGCGCCCGCCCCGGCCAGGGGTAGGGGGGGCCGCAAACACACGACTCACTGGGAGTAAAACAACTCACTGGGAGTAAACACTGGGAGTAAAGCAACTCACTGGGAGTAAACACTGGGAGTAAAGCAACTCACTGGTTGTTAAGCACTGGGAGTAAAGCAAACCACTGGGAGTAAACACTGGGAGTAAAACAACTCACTGGGAGTAAAGCACCAGGAGTAAAGCAACTCACTGGGAGTAAACACTGGGAGTAAAGCAACTCACTGGTTGTTAAGCACTGGGAGTAAAGCCCTGGGAGTCAAACAACTCCCTGGCAGTGAAGCCCTGGGCCAGGCTGCCCAGAGCGGGGGTGGACTCTCCCCCCTTGGAGGTGTTTAAGCCCCGGGCAGACACAGCCCTGGCTGGGATGCTGCAGCTGGGGCTGGTCCCGCTTGGAGCAGGGGGGTGGATGAGATGTGACCTCCCGAGCTCCCTTCCACCCCCGTTTTCTAGGGTTTCAGACCGTCTCCCCGGAGTGCGTCAGCGCAGGGGGAAGGATGATCAGGGAGATTTCTGTGTCCAGCCATCGAGGCGGTTGGGAAAGGTGAGCGCGGTCCCTAAACGTGGACGTGCACCGGGCACCACACCTGCTCCCTCCGGCCAGGCCGGCGTGGAAGGTGGGTGCACCGGGTGCGTGGCCAGAGGCACGTGGGGCAGCTCCTGGGCCTGACGGTACTTATCCCTGCCACCTCATCCCAGTGCCCTGCAGCGCACCTAGATCCCGGGGCAGCCAGGCATGTACGTGTCCGCACACCCACGCCCACCCTCCCAGCTCACTCCCGCAGAGGTCTGGCACACACAGTGGGCACACACACCCAGGAGCCCTACAGACCGGGTGAATAACACCATGAACAAACTGCAGCACTCGCGCACCAGTCACCTCCTTACCCGAACCGCTGCCCATAGTCCTTCTGCCACTCGTGCACATCTTACACCAACCCCCCCAGCTGCAAATGCTAACACAGACACACGCAGCCGTTGCACGGTATCCACAGGCTCCCTCCCCCGGGGACATCCAATTCCTGGGTGGGATGGGTCAGCGGGGGGCTTTCGAGGCTGGTTAAATTGCGGGGGCCTGTGCATTGAGCAGCGTGCAACTTTGAGAGGACAGCTGGGCTGAGGGAGAAGAAAATCCTCCCTCCAAAGGGAAGGGAAAGACCCAGAACGTGGCTTATTGATTTCAAATATCTGCAGTGTCAGATTTTGCATGAGTTAGAGCCTAACAATCCCTTCCGCTCAAGAGCTCTTTGTCTCCCTGACAAGCCCCGGTCCCCGGGCCAGAGCCGACGCTGCTCCCTCCGGCGAGGCTGCGTGCGGTGAGGTCACCCGGGCAGCTGGCATCAGTACAGCAACCCCCAAATACCGGTGCCAAAAGGCCTCCGGAGTTGGCAGCGCTCCCACGGACAGAGATTTAATCAGGGGTGGAAAAGCCCGTCGTTTCACACGCCTCGCCTGGGGCAGCCCATAGAGAAAGCAGGTGCAGGTCCAAGGTAGATGCATTTCTACACAGATTCACCATGTTGTGCCCCCTCCACCAGCCCCAGGAAAGAAGAATTCAGCTGTTTTTTTTATTTTTGTGTACTCACCAGCAGAAAAGGCCCGCAGCCAAGCCCAGGTTACACTCCTTTATCCCGGCGTGAAGCCTCAGAAACCTCGTCCTTGCTGGTCCAGGGAGAGCGGAAACATCATTCGAGCCCTCTCCACGCTCCTGCCCTGCAAGCTGGGCAGCACCAGCGCAGAGACGAGCAGCAAACGAGGTGCCGACGGGGACTCTGCCCGAGCCCCCAGGGCTTAGCGAAGGGGCTCTTGGCCTGCACGGGAGTGCTGGTGATGGAAACACGCCAGCGGTCAAACGACACAGGAGCTCACGGGGATTCGGTCCGAGAGTTTCTCCAATGCATGAGATCGTACCTGGAGCAAGAGCTGATCCCCAGCAGCCCCGTGGAAAGACAGGCTGCACGCTGGTGCATCGCTGCTGGAAGATGCGAGGGTCCCTGGGCCGAATCTCATCTTTGCTCCCGGCTGCATTGGTGGTCCAGGGGCCTGCAGAACAAAGCATGTGGTGGGCTGGGAAGGAGCTGGTGGCTTCCCCCCGGAGACCTTCCCGGTACCATGGGTGTCCAGCGAGGAAAGACCTGGAGGAGCTCGGCCGTGCCACGTGCTGCCGTGCCTGCAGAGGAATGGCAAGAACAGGACTCATGGAGAAGGATCAAGGGAATGGGTTTCTATGCCCAGCTCTGCCTCCCAACAGCCACGTGACCCTGGGCAGTCACTTCGCCTCGGCGCCTCAGTGTGCGCACCTACGAAATGGGAGTAAAGATGCTTCGTCACCTGGTAAAGTGCTTTGCGATGAATGCGTGGAAGAACCCCGAAGTTCTTAATATAAAAGGGTCTAAGCGGGCAGCTGAAAAGGAGAGAAGGGATGGGAGAGGAGGACAACGAAGAGCGACTGCAGTAGAGGCATCTAAAATAATGCGCCAGGAGCGATAATTTGAGCTCCCACGTGACGCAGACAAAGGGGTTTCCTGGAAGACAGGGCGGATCCAAGGAGGGCTCACCCGAGGAACTCTCTGCTGCAGGATCTCACGGGGGCCCTCAGCTGAGCAGCATTCAGAGACGGACCAGAGAATTAGATGGGCCATAAGAAGATGCACGGGTCCGTAAATGAGGATGAGAAAGAAGGGAGATAGGCCGGGTGCAAACCGGTGGGTAACCAAGGAGAATCAGAAGAAACCTTCTCTGCAGATGTCCGCTATAGTGCATCTTTCATCTCCTCCCCAAGCGTCTGGGGCTGGCCACGGGCAGACAAGGAGGGGCCACTGCTCCGATGCCATCTTGCCAAGTGGACCCAGACACCGGCGCGCCCGGCCCAGGTAGAGTCTAACGAGGCAGCGGCCCCCATAACCAGGAAGGGCCTCCTTTCCAAACCCTCGTCAGCCCCTTCTTCTACCTGGAAAGCCCGGGCGGTCACGAGCCACGCCGATTCGAAAGGAAGCGCACGCAAGCAAGCGGATCTGAACAAAATCAGGGCTCTCTGCAAGTCCCGCAGGAGGGAGCCCCCTTCTCTCTGCTGAGCGCCCCCGATGCCGGGCAAGACGCATGCAAAGCGAAGGTTTGCAGTGCAGACAGGCTCCACGCAGCTCCTGCTGGCTCAGCAAAGCCGGGCGCTGCCTCTTGGCTCGGCTAGCCTGCAGGAAGCCTGCTCGCAGCCCCGGCCCGGGCAGCTCTGCTCTTCCCCGCTTTGGTGCTGGGAGTTTCTACCCATCACCCAGACCCAAAGCAAATCAGAGCAGATGCTCGCAGTACCAGGGTAGTTCGACCCCTAAATATTCAGCCCGACTGCTCCCGATAAGGCCGAAAGGGGGGGTCTCAGGAATGGGCCTCGGCTTTCCAGAGTCCCTCTCTGGCGCTGAAACCATTCGAAGGGAGACAGCACCAGGCAGCGAGTCTCCATGCTGCTGCTGGCGGCTTGGTAGCCAGCTACGATGCTGGCGTGGGAAATGCTCGAGCGGCTCGGTGTTGCATGGCCCAAACGCTCCCCAAGCCCAGCTGCAAACTGCGTGGGCTTCCTCGCGCCGCTCACCGCATCTCACGCCCAGCCGACCGTCTCATCGCTCCGGCTTGGCGGTGCTTCTCTCTCTCCTTTGGCTCGGTGCTAGCAGCGATCGGCGTCAGTCGAGCTCCAGCCTAGCACGCAGGCCCAGGGATGGGTGTGAACCCGGTGGCCTTGCTCCTTGAAGTCGTTCCTGAGGCAGGTCCGAAGCGGAGAGAGGAGCAGCTGCGGGGAGGATGCCGTCTGCCTGGTTGCTGCAGAGTCCCTTGTTCAGCGCTCGGTGAGAGCGACTCCGTCCGAGGTGTCCTCTTCAGCGGGGCCGAGCACTCGCCGTTCCTCCTCTGTGAATGCCCAGGCAGCGGGTGGCAAAGCCGGGTTTCGCACCTCACTGTAAGATACAACGGCAAGGGAGGGAAAGTAACGAGGGTCAAATCCTCCACGTGCAAATCCCCTCTGTGCTCACTGACCTCAGCAGGGAGGGACGTCCACGCTGGCATCAGGATTTGGTCCCGGCTGGCTTTGTGTCCTCTTGCTGCAGACACCCCTCCTGCTATATTGGACAGCTAGCTTTTGCCTGAGCCGATGGGACGTGCGTTTCCCCCGCCGGCTGCAACCCTGGAGTCCCTGCGCCGGGTCACAGCGATTTCCCTGCCAAGCAGGGGAAACCTCGCCCAAAAAAATAAAAAAAATCAACCTGCCAAGTGAATTGGGTTTACCTAGAAATCAGCAATCCCTTTACGGCCCCAGAGCCTGAGTCACCCCTCGAAGCCGGCCGAGGTACTTCATTCCCAGCAAAGCCCTTGGCTCGTAAAAATGAACCCTTTGTGAG